GGGGAGTAGCAATTTTCTTTTCTTAAACAAAGGAAAAAGGGCTGTAATTCATATTTACTCCAATGTATCGAAAATCCTAGATATGTTTCATTCTTGTCACAGGAAAGCTATACTTTCAACTGGTTTTGTCTGGCATATGCTTCGCTTCACACTGTTACTATCATTCTTCTCTGCAATTGACTTTAAAGAAATTTAGTTTTTCATCTGAATTCTTCAAAGAAAATTGTGTTTTAGACTGGATGATCTGATTCAAGCACCGACCATCTAAAAACATCTATAAACTCTGCGGTCTAAAACAGTCGAAAACTATTCAAACAGTAAGTTCTACAAGGTGGTCAATAAAGGAGACAACTAATGATCAAGAAACCTTAACTTGAGTTGTAACATCACTGAGTTCGAAACTTCAACCTCCTAATTAACAACTATTATGCAGTCAAACCTTTTTTATTCCCTTGATATACAAGAACATTTTAAATCAACAACTCAGGAAGTCCGTCAATAGAACTCATACCGATTCAACATGCTACTGCCAAAAGACATCAAAGTAGATAAAGCATGTTTCAAACACAAGTACCATCAAGACTAAGGACTTCAATTGGATTAGTAGTTCTAATCAGATTAGCTTATATTGTCACTTTCTGAATGAGCGCAAACGAGAGTGGAATAATATCATCGGTGAAGCGAGGCTTTCTTCTGCCTACAAGTTCCAGTATTTACTTCTATAGTCTCTCACGCCAAGGCACTCGTAGGGAAAAGAAATGTGCTAATCCCAGATAGAAAGGTTAATTTAATGACTCAGAAAAGAGGGTTAATCACCCCAATGATCTTAAACGTTCTTTGATGAATGGAGGCTCTTAAACAAAGCCATTATGAAGATATAGCCACGCAGAGCTTTTAAAACAGAGATACGAAACTACACTCTGATCGAAACATGAATCCGCGGCTCGGTTAAGTAGAGCTATTCGAGAAGCAAGATAACAGACAAGAAAACTAAAAGGGGACGCATTTCATGATAACAGTAAGAATAAAGTTCAACCCAGCAGGATCAACTTAAGTAAACAGGGTCATATTCATTACATTATACGGGTTATAGAGTTAGAAAAAGCCCATTTCATTTAAGTTCAGGATCATGAAAACACATACTAATATGTCCATTAACAAAGGGGAGAAGATTCAGAGAGTTGTGCCTCCAGTTTGATGCAACATTGCATCAATTTCATCACCATCTTCCATCTCCAGCTGAAGCAAAGAAGAATTGTTAGAAAATAGAAAAATTTATTACTGAGTAATGAGTACTAAGCAAATGAGCACGCAGGATGAGTGGGTTTGTTCTGTCTTATTGTTTCTTCCCCCTTTTTTCTTTTTTCTTTTTCCAGCTTACTCCACATTGTGTGTGTGTGTGTGTGTGTGTGCGAGAGAGAGAGAGAGAGAGAGAGAGAGAGAGAGAGAGAGAGAGAGACCTCATCTGGAGTCTGCTCCCCACGAAGACGACGACCATCAAACAAGAAGGCAATTGAATTGAAATCAACTGACTGCCTGTCACAATATGCATTCATCAATTTTTTTAGCTGAGTGCTTCTTTTGATTCTGAAAAAGACCTCGTTCCCATCCTGCAACCAATAAACCAACCAGATCAATCACTGTCAGCCACTTTCCTCCTCATTAGTGAGTGCATACATACATTTTCTGAAATTTTAATAGGCTTCCATAATCCATACAACGATGACAAAAAGAAGATAAAAAGAAGGGAAAAGGAACCAAAATGTCCATACAGCTCATTAATACAAGCTGATGTGGGGGTCAATCACACTATACTTCTCCAGGCAAAAGACAAGATTGTAAGGATTAGCAATGAAAATTAACCCCAAAACCGGAGGGTAGGTTTCTAATAATGGTTTTTTCCGGCCAACCCAGATTTATCTTGTCTTAACACGGAAAAGCACATGGCTACATGTAATTATTGTTGATACTAGATAGTCCTCTTTTACAAAAGCCAAAGAAACAAATCATCAGTTCCATTCTTTTGATTACTTCTAAAAGGAATCACACAATCACCATCGGAATCTACCACTGACAACTACAGGGATCACACCATGATCCGTTACATCCACAATGTGCTGTTAACCTATACTATGGTTGGTTTAGCATTGGACAAACAAAATTTTGTACAAAATCTCAGGCTTAAATTTACCACGAAACAATTTAGAAACAATTTACCACAGAACAACTAATAAATGCTATACCAATACCATCCACGCTTCTACAGGCACCAAATGTTTGTATATTTGATTGAAATTACCATCTTCAACGCAAACAAAAGAAGTGATAAGGTAACTTTTATTATATGGAAAATATCTTTTTCATCCCAAAACACTACCTGGATGCATTATTCTTAAATAAATTCTTTGCAAAAGAAGCCTGAAAATGTAATTTCATCAGTTCTCGGAGTTAACAGAAAAACTTAATGAAACACAGTACGATATTCATATATCTTTTTTTTGGGTAGATCAACTGAAAAAATAATAGCACCTAATCACCCTACTCCGAATCTGGCATTAGGTGTTTTGTTCCTTTCTCTTTTCTTTTAATTCAATCTCTTTTAGAAGCTCCTTTAGTTAAGACTTTTTTTTCGAGGAAGGATACTTAAATATCTTCTAGTTAAGACTTGCAAGCAGATTAGCACTTAAAATGAGGTTTTTTATGCTTTGGCACTTACAGCTCTCACTTCATGAAAAAGGGAAAAAAAGAAAAAGAAATTTTGAGGTAGTCAAATTGTAAGAGGGTGCGTTTTAAATCAGGCACAATGAGTTAAAACAATATTGTAAAATAGGTTAACATAAATGCCTTACAAGACAGCAAGCTTATGATTAA